GGTGAGGAGACAAAAACTTTCTGTGTCGTGCTGTCATCTCCTGTCACTGCCAGGTCACACAGTTGTCTCACACTGACACACCAGACATGCTCAAAGACTCTTCAGTTTCCACAGAGCTTTCTTCATGTTGCACTGCGGTTGCCTCATGTCACATCAATGACACAGTTAACTTTACTGTTTCGGAGCCTCAAATGAAAATAATGGGACCTCACTGTTCCTAGCATTTTATGAAATAACACTAAGCTTGCATTAAATACTAAAACTGTACCAAGCTGTGCAGTACTGATATAGAGAGGTTTTAGTTAAGGCAACCAGACTTAACCCTCCTATTATCATTAAATATTACAAACACCTGCCTCCAGAAAATGATTTACATAAAATTGTTGATCAAGATTTTTTTTGTAAGGCACTTTGTTTATTTGTTGAGTACATAAATAACCCCTTAATAATGGAACCTATTAGTGAGTTGACCTGTTCTCTAGTACAGGTCAAACCTTTCAAGTAGAATAAATGTATCTTTAAAAGTTTTCATAAAAATCTTCTCAAATTTACTGACACCTTGATGACCACAAGAGGATGAACCCTACTGGTTTTGGAGATGATATGACCTTTCCTGTAGCTCATGTAACCATGAGTGGTTAAAGTCCTCAATGTTAGCTCGGATCCAGGTGGTCCAACGTCTGGCCAAATTCACCAAAGTCAAGAGGTATTTTTAGAAGAGCAGACTCAACGCCCGATCATTCAGCTATTTTCTGATCATTTTTGTTCAGAACAGGTTTCTGTTGTACTCTTTATGATAATATCATTGACTAAAACCTACACAGCAAATTCAAAAGTGTTAATTTTCCAGTGTTGGTGTTAAACGTTAAGAATACAGTGTTAATTCAACACTTGCTTAGTTCAATTCAACTATGTAAGAGTTAATCCCTCAAAAGAGTTGGTGTTAATCCGGGGAGTTAAATCCAAAGAACTCTGTTGAGTGTTGATCTTAAAATCAACACTTATGATCAACTCTGTTACGTGTGAAATTTAAAATCAACACTTCACAGAGTTTCTCCAACGGATCTGTGACGTGTTTTTCCTAAAAGCGGGACAACTCCCAGTCTGAGAAGGAGTCTGAGCGGGGCAGGAGCAGATCAGCAAATGGTAGGTGAGTTTCTTTTTGCTGCCTTCAGGACTTCACCAAGTATCTCTCTGTAAGTAAATGAAGGGCAGCATGCCATTTGATAATATCTTATATTCTATGCAGTAATGTTAATTTTTATGTGTTGATATTAAATCTTGCTGAGTCATCTCTGTAACATGAGCTGACATCATGATAGGCTCAGTCCAATGTTAAGGTTAGCGTGGTTGTTGTCGCCTAATGCTGCATTTTAAAGTGTGCATTAATGTTTATTTTGTACATGAGATATGGGTGTTGATAATTATACACAATTTGCTAATCGTTAGTAACGTTATAGGCTACACGGTTATATTTCAAGCTAGCAAAGTAACGTTAGCACGTGCGCAAGGACTCGAGTTAGGTGTATAGCTAAGCTAAAGTTTATTCTTCGTGAGTGACAGTGTCGGCTAACGATACACGGCAAAATGTAAAGCGATGGGGTAGAGAGCTGGGGCTGGACCGAGTGGTTGAGCTCCTGTTTGTCTAGGGAAAACGTTAGCTGCTAAAAGTCGGAGTGGCTCCGGGTAGTAACGTTAGCCTAAAGTTAATTTATGTTGCAGCTAGAGGAATACAGGTGTAGACTTTCCGGGCCGCGACACCGATCTCTTCTCTAAACCTAGAGCTTTTTACGAGCAGGAGTAGTTTACTTTGATTTATCTCTAGCTGTTGGGGTTTTTTTTTCTTTTCTTTTTAAATGTTTAATCTTAATTTTATTTTCTCAATCTATCATTAGCCGCAGCTGTTACCGGAGTCGCACACACCCCTCAGCTGCTGATGCCTGAAATGTGTGAGTTTTTATAACGCTAACTGCTTATGAACGATAGCGTCATTGTCATGTTATGCATTCAGTAGATGATATTTTGCCAAACGTACAAAGAAGAATTGCTCACGTATTTGTGTGTATGGACAAGTGTGGGTGTTGTTAGCATTAAGTTAGCTATCATGGTAGCAGGCAGGGTTAGCTTAGTGATATCGTGCTGGCTGCCGTTGTCCAGGTTGGCGTGACTTGCGAGGAATTTTATGGGAGACAAAAAAAAAAAAAGACCCAGAACAATTACAACGATCAAAATCCGGCGAGTAATCCGAGGCAAAATGTCCCTGTGTCTTTACTCATTCACGGTGAACATACTGTAAATGATGATGTATTCTTTTTCTTCATAGTACATCATGTTGGTGAAGGTGAGATTCAGAGAAACGCAGAAGTATGTCAAAGTGGCTGAGACTGAAGATGGCTATGATGACTTCAATACATTTCTTCAGAAAGGTTAACAATACAACCAAGAATATTTGTGCAAACTGACTAATTGCTGTAATACTTGCTGTATTTATCTAGTATTCAAATATCTTATATTATAGAGTTGTGTTTATGATAGCTAATGGTAATACCCTGTGAAGAGTAAACAAGTACTGTTATAAAGTTGACCAAAAATGTTGAAAAAACAAGTTAAGCACATTTCTGGTAATGTTCTTATTGTATTTTCTTAACCATTGCTTTAAATCTAATATTTTTATTAGTCATTCAAAAGCTAGATCTTCCACTTGAGACTGAGCTGCACTTGACAGATGAATCAGGGACAGAAGTCGATGCAGATGTGTTTGAGGAGCTTTTACAAGCAGGGAACCTTACTGTTAGGGTGTCAACTGAGAAGTCAACAGGTGAGACTCAGACTTGTAAGGAGTGGATTGTCAATAATGAGAATTGTTGAGAACTAATTATTTTTTTCCTTTTGTGTATACATTTTTAAATCTGTTTACAGTTGTGCTTCAAGAGGATCTTTCAAACACTTTGTCGGAGTCACCCTTCTCAGACACATCTTCGTCAGTGTCCGAAGACTCCCTGCTTGTGTCCTCTGATTCATCAGATGCAACAGTAATTGTTCATACAAACGGAGGGAAGAGAACCCATGCTGAAAGGGAATCTGCAAAAGAGGTTTTTAAAATACACACAGAAAGATGCAGTTGAACTGTGGTTTTGTTGTTGGACATGATGATGATGGCGGCTATAATTGTTGATTTGCTTTCTTATTCTTTGTCTTTTAGATGGTGAGAGATGCTCTCCAGGCAAAACCAGGTGGCCAAATTATTTTGGATGAGTATGCTAAAGGGAAAACACTGATGGATGGCACAAGGAGACAGTTGGTAAATCTTCTAGTGGCAGACATGGTTGAAATTCATGGGTAAGACTTCTATCATATTTTTACCTCACTTAATATTTTTTTTAAATCAGCACACATATTCTAGAACATTGCATATTAGTAAAGCAGTTCATTAGTATAGTAGTAGTAGAAGTAGTAGTAGTCGTAGTAATTTGTATCTTTAAACACTATAGGTATTGTAGTAGTAATATCATGTTTATCTTTCAGGAGGAGCCCACCTATCTCTGTGCGAAGTAACTATGCTTTGGGCATCATCTCTCTGTTCCCCAGCCTTCGAGATCCATACTCAGACAATGGATATGTAAGTTTGTAAATGAAAAGCTTGTATATGAATTTATGGAGTGGTAATATGGTCTGAATCTACTCTACAATTTGTTTTTAATATTACAGGAACACTTCTATGATCCATGTAGCGGATCTGGCTACTTGGCCTGGAGATTAAAGACTGTTCAGCGCAACACTGCAACTCAGTCCCGGAGATCTTCCACCAGCACAGCTTACCAAGATAGTCCAAAGAGAAAGAGGGAGGTTCTCTGCACAGATAAGCAGCTGCTTGGTGAGCACTGTCATGAAGCAATATCCTTTTTGAAACATTCAACTGATGAATCGGCAATCAAAGAGAAGATGAGGGCCACTTTTCAGTACCGCCAAACACTGGTTCAAGATCAACAGTGCTCTTCAACAGTCTTCGATGTCTTCCCACGTTTCCTTGACATCACTGGCTTGGTAAGAAAGAGAACTTCTTTGAAGTGAATTGTCACTCATGGTGTATACTTAAGTTGCATAAGTATAAAAATGTGTGTTCTTCTGTAGATTGACCAAGACTTCACCCTGATGTTTGGAGAGGAAGTGTCGGGCAGATTTTTGGCAAAATGGCCTACTTTTTTCAAACCTAGGATCCTGACAGACTGTGAAAAACTGACTTCTAATGAGCACATTGAAGACCTCTTGTCTGTGCAGAACAACTCAGGTGGGTCTGGTCAGATTTTCTCCTTCTCTTTAAAATATCTCAATTATTTGTGTGAATGTGTCTGACTTTTTTTTCTGTTTTTCCTTAAGGCTGGGACAGTGACCTGTCAAGCATTCTACTGTTGCTTCACCTGCTTCCCCCTACCTCCAAAGGCCACAAAAAGAGTGGAAAAATCAGTGCCTGTCAAGCTGAGGACCATATTCTGAGATATCTGCAGGTATGTAAATATGAATGTACTTAACCAATTATTCTGATTATCCTACTTCTTGTGTTAAAGCACACTTTTTTATTGACTTATTTAGTTGAATGTAGCAGTGCTTCATTTCACGATTTTCTCATGATTCTTCTTTACTTTTGGTGAAAGATGGGAGCCAGTGTCGAAACCTTCCTTTCCGGTGTGGCACCGGGACAGCCCTTCCTCCTGTGTGTTGGCACAAAGAAGAACAGCATCCAAAGATACTTCGTCATCATTGATCACCAGGCCATCCCCTGCAAGGCACAGACATCCTTGGCAGCTTTCGATGAGCTTTTCAAAGCACACTTCACCTTCAGTGTCAACTTCCATGAATCCCTTCTCAACTTCTATACATTCATCCAAACCACAGTTTTTAACATTGATGTGGGAAGTGCCAAGGAAAGCCCCAGAGTCAAGGAGCTATGAGCAAGGTTTTTGCACGACGCTTGAGGTGATAAAATATCCTTGGATGCAAGTATGTTTCTTTGTTATGTCTGTAAGGCACACCACAAAAGTTCTGCATTGCTTTGTCAGCATTTAAGACTACACCACGGGCTATATCCTGGAAAAACATTACGTTTAAAATGTGGACAGCCAGGATGTTGTTCATCATTTTGCACCTATTCAGGTTTCAAGAAGCATCTTGTTCATTTCCATAGAGATGTTGCTTTAACTACTTCTGCAAAAAATGTGGACTCTCAGGATGAAGTTGGTGAGCCCTCAACTTCACAGGCAATGAGAACAGACTCTCCAACAACTACCCAGCTCTCTGTTGACAATAATCTTGTGTTAAACATGTGTGGTCCTGTTGTAGCACAGTTGCAAGCATCTGGCGTTGCTGAGAGCACAGTCCAAGCAATGGTAGGGTCCATGGAGGAACTTGTAAATGACATCCATAGGCAAGCGAAAGAGGCAGTTCTCAGCTGTACTTCAGAAATTCAAGGCACAGATTTGGAAAAGAAGGTGGAAAAGTGTTTTGATCAACTGAAAAATCCTTTCTCATCCCTAAACACTAGAGTAAAACGACAGAAGTTCTTTGAGGAAAAATGGGAAATTGTTGAACCTGTTGAATATGTTCTTGGGGTGCGGTTTGATGTTCGCAGGGATCCAACAACAGGAGTTTACAGTCAAGTCCCCGTAACAGATAAATTTGTGTATACACCCATCCTGGGAACTCTCAAGTCTATGTTCAAGAACACTGAATTGTGTGAAAGTTTCTTGCAAGCCAAACATCACGAAGAAGGAGTTTATAAAGACATATGTGATGGTTCATACTTCAAGAGTAACATTTTGTTTTCTCAGAAAAAACATGCTCTACAGATTCAACTCTATTTTGATGAGTTTGAGACAGCAAATCCTTTAGGTTCAAAGAAAGGGATTCATAAACTTGGCTGTATTTACTTTGTTTTGAGGAACCTGCCCCCAAAATATAATTCAGTGTTGATGAATATACATGTTGTGGCACTTTTTCACTCACAGGACCTGAAGACTTATGGATTTGATGACATCCTAAAACCTCTTGTTGACGATCTTAAAATACTTGAAACACAAGGCATTCAGGTGCCCTTCTCAGACTTACCATTGCATGGCTCTGTTATACAAGTTACAGGTGACAACCTTGGTTTACACGGACTGTTCGGTTTTGTTGAGTCCTTCAGCGCTACATATTTCTGCAGATTTTGTTTGACAAGTAAGGTTGAGTCACAGTCTGTGTTTACTGAAGATGACCCTGGCATGATATTTCGTACAAAAGAAATCCATGCAGAACATTGTGCAGCTCTTCAGGATAATCCTATGTTGGGTTCAACATTTGGTGTCAAAAAGACGTGCTTGCTCAATACATTGAATTTCTTTCACACCTCTGACAACTATGCAGTTGATATTATGCACGATTTACTTGAGGGTGTTGTACAGTACGAACTCAAACTTACCTTTCAATACCTTGTCAGCCATAAGTATCTTTCTTTGGAATCATTGTCACAGAGAGTCCAAAGTTTCAACTATGGTTATATTGAGAGAAAAAATAGGCCAAGTGGGTTGAAAATGGATGATTCAAGCAAGGATCTTGGCTTAAACGCCATTCAGTCATGGTGTCTTGTGAGAAATGCTCCACTTATTTTTGGTGATGTATTGGAAAGAGATAACTGTTACTGGAACCTGCTCCTCCTCTTGATTCAGATTGTGAATGTTGTCTTTTCACCTATCGTAACTAACGGTATGACATACTATTTGAAGCACTTGATTAAGGACCACCACAAGCTATTTAAATCTTTGTTTTCACAGAAACGATTGATTCCTAAGCATCATTTTATGCTACATTATCCACGTTGTATTAGAAAAATAGGTCCACTCCTTCACGTATGGTGTATGAGGTTTGAAGCAAAACATAATTTTTTTAAAAGATCTGTGAAAAATTTCAAAAATATCACAAAAACATTGGTGAAACAACACCAAAGACAGCTTGCTTACCACTGGGAGAATTTTGATTTTCAGAGATTTGAGTTTGGTCCAGTGAAGAAAAAAACTGTTGATAGCTTGGAAGGTGGTGAGGTTTTAAGTGCTGTTTTTCATGTTAATGCATACTGGGAAGTGTCAACCACTAATTGGGTGAAGAACTATGGAACAGAGTATCAGATTGGTATGTTTGTTTGTACTGGAACTAATATGGAAATTCCTATTTTCAGAAAGGTCACAAACATTATCATACATGATGAGCAAGCTTTTATTTTAACTTGCAGAGTGGACACTCTTTATTTTGATGATCATTTCAATGCATACTGCATCAATGAGAGAGAAGATTCATTTTCTGTTCTCCCAATTAAGGAGTTGATTTATCACAGACCCTATGACAAACAGTTTTCTAACGAGATGTGTGACAAAACATATATTGTGCCACATTGCCATATTGTGTGACCTGTAGTGCAAAGCCAGTGCTGTTTTTTTTTGTGGTGTGCTTGTTCAAAATAAATGTTGTTTCAAACTGTAACTTGTGTGGTTTTCTTTATTTTCTATTATAAGTAGTAGGAGTAGTAGTAGTAGTAATACATTTAACACTCCCATAGTGTTACAATAATTTGAATCTTATTCAGTGTTGAAAAAAACTCAGTGAGTGTTACTTTTTGACACTAAACACTGGTGTTAAAAAAATTAAACACCAGTGAGTGTTAGATTTCAACTATTGAGAGTGTTGTTTCAACTCTATCCAAGTGTTAATTGTTTAACACTTTCAAAAGTGTTATTTTAACTCGATTTAGTGTGGACCAATATAGACACTTTTAAAGTGTTGAATTTAACTCCCTCGGAGTTGAATTAACACTTCTGAATTTGCTGTGTACCTGCCCACTCTAGACTTATGGGCTCAGGGCTTTTGCTGCGTGGGGGGCCTTCCTTATTCTCTCTTTTTCTTATCTCTTTTTCTTGTGCTCTTTTTTTATGATTGAGTAGATAAAAAGCTGAGTTCCAGTGGCACCCACAGGTCAAAGAAATGCATATCTTCCAGTAAATCAATGATAGCAATATTCAATCAGGGGCATTGGAACAATCAAGAAAGAGCACTAAGATTACCAGGGAATATGCAGTCTCTGCGTGAGAGTATTTTAAGCTGCACAGTGATAGTGGAGGGACATTTTTCTCTCTTAATGGCGTTCACAGTATAATAGGGCTGCGGACCCCTGCTGTGATCCAGCCAGGTTACAGTGTGATTGTTCTTCTTGTAGATCAAAACAGTCACCTCTGCATGCTCGCATCCTGCTTTCTGCAGTGTCCCCCACTGCGGTTGTATGTTTGTGTGTGTGTGTGTGTGTGTGTGTGTGTGTGTGTGTGTGTGTGTGTGTGTGTGAAGGCAATACATTGAATATGATTTGATTTTTCCCCCCATTATTTTTTTAGGTTACTTTAAGTTCTGCAGTTTTATTTTTAAAAGATATGGCATCAGAAACAGTTAATCTGTTGAAGGCATTTATTGCCTCAATCCAAAGAAAAACCTTCACTAAAGGGCACAAAACATAAAAAAAAATAATAATACATGGCATGTGGTTTTCTATGGATGACTAGCTGTTCAGTCCCTGTTTCGTGCTCTTTTGGAGTTCAGTCACAATAAAAATAAGTAGATAAATAAAAAAGACAAAAGTGCATGTGTCACATCGTGCCTACCTTTGTGTAATAAACCCAAACATTATATGAAGTTTAATTTTACTGACTTATTGAGCATAGTTTTCTTTAAAAGTGACATTCTTATGTTTGAAGTTGCTGACAAAAGAAGCAATGTTTGGCTGATTTTATTACCCAAAACTTGTCTTGCAATTGTGCCTCTTGAGACCACTTGTCCCCGACTTACTATTGTACTTAACGATGACTAAACACATTTTACGGGCAGCATACAGTGTCTTAACCCTGTATCACTTGACTCTCACAGAGTCAGGGCTGCAAACCTATTATAAAATCTTGCAGTGCGATTTGGTGGGGGCAGCCAAAGTTTTGTAGCATACCTATGACCTGTGGGATTCCCGAAAAAATGTCAGTCTCTACTCTGCATGCAATAGGCACTGTATGGGAGGATCGTGTACTGAGACATGTGTGCATTTGCTGCCCATCTCATAGTCAGATTGTACTCTGCAGTTGTGCATTTGAATGAGGCACAGAAAACCTTTCTACTCATCAGAATTCAACTGAATTTTTATCTGCATTTAACTGTATAGATGGATCATTTAACAATGTCATCTGTATAAGCTGTAAGATCAGGTAACTGCTTTCTGCAGGTGATACAAGTTAAAGTAATCCTTAAAGGACTTGGAACAGTAGTTAATTCAATTCTAGAGCATTTTAAATCTAAAAGGTATTTTTGCTGCGCAGAGCTGTGCAATGCAAGCTCACCCTGACAGAGCTGAATTTCTCAACATTGCCTGTATAATGAGCTAGAGGAAAAAATGGAAGTCCTTATCATTTTATTGTGTAGTTAATTCTTGAAGATGATGTTTGTCCAACTTACTTTCGGGGCCAGCTGGCAAAGCGCTTTGTCAGATTTTTATGTGCAGGATTGAGCAAAGGTGTAGCGACAACATCAGTTGCACAATCTTTTTTCAGTGAATCAGGCCAAGAATTCATACAAAGTGTCAGTGCAACTGATCTTTGGTAATTCTCTCATATACTGGCAAAGTTTTACAGCTGTAAATTATGCATAAATAATACTACTGAATGTTGTAGCCCTGATTACAATTTTACAAGTTTTTTTCACCTCTTGTTAGACTCAAAACAACTCCTTAAAGATCATGGAATTAAGCCTTACTCAAGAGGGTGATTAACAAACACTTCAGAAAGTTGGAAGTTTTGTTTGAAGGTGACGTATCAATTATTATAAAGAATTTGAAAGTTTTGAGTTTGCAGAGCAGGTTTAAAACAGATCAGAGCTATAGAAATCATATCCTTCTAGCAAAGTCTCAGAGGAGCACCCAGAGCTTCACTGATCCTAGTAAACACAGTATATATAGAGCCCTTAAGCTATTCTAAGGACATCATCCTGTCTGCTCTGTGCATACTGTTAGATGAATATGAATGATGCATTAATATTTTGTACTCATAAAATAAACCATAAACCATTCAGAACTGTGACACTAAAGATTTCTTTGTTTCTGCAACACTTCACTGAGAGTTCACACAGTGTATTGAAAGTGTTGAAGCCTCAATAAATGCTAAGGTTGCCTGTTCACATTATTCTTTAATTGAATAGAAATTAAAGGTTACACAACTGAAGAGTTTTTCCAGGGAAAGCATGTGGGACTTTAAAAAGTAGTTTGCTGTAACTTGCTGAAGCATGAAGACATATTTAATTGGGTTGTTGTGACCCTAAAAATACCCCCCCCTCATTATGCCACATGTTAAAAGAAGACACTGAGGAATAAAGCAGACTAATTGAGTTGAGATACTAAAATTATTCACGCTCTTCCTTATGTAATGTTAATGAGGCAACAGCAGCACGGAGCAGTGACCTCAAGATTCCTCCCTCTGTCCTTAAGCTTCTCTGGTTTTAGCTTCATACCAGATCAAGTTTAGCAGCATTTATATGGGATAGCTTTAAAACACTGATCATTTCAAGGTCAATATAAAAAATGGATAAAAACAAGTGATAAAAGAACCAGTTTTGGATTTCATACCTCACGTTATCATTCATAAGAACCATAAGGATTAATATTTTTAATTACTTATCCAATTTGATTAAAATAATGCTAAGAGTACAACACCCACAGTACTGGAGAAGACCCTGCAGCTACCAAATGGCACAGTCGAATTTGCAAAGAGTTAGTGCTGAGGCCATAACCTGCCAAACATCCACTAATAGTACACCTACCTTTAAGATGAATGAGGTCAAATTATACATAAATTCTAAATATTGTAGTTCCTCAAGTGTCCACTCGAGGCTGGCTGCAAAGGCACTGCAAACAGCATACACTCATTTAAGTGGGCACACTATAGCTATCCATGAGGACCTTAAGGCCAGCCTACATTACATTTCTTTGACCAACTAAGAGTTTGAATGAGTCAGCACATCAAAAATGGCAACTACTGCCAACAGCCCCCCCTAAGAAACCCCAAGTGCCAGTGCCTGGTGGCCTCACTGGCTTCTGCTGTTGATCCACTTTCTGTGTGAGGTGGCTGATGAGGTTTTTCATTAGAAAACTGGAGGTGCATTTTATTATTCTACTAGACAAACAGCTGGCTAGCTGTCAGTTTTGCTTACTTGACTAGAAAAATTAAATAACCATCAACACAAACACACATTGCAGTTTATCGTCTAGCAGTAAAGTTATGGACCAAAAGGATTTGGAGATTTAGAAAAATCCTGTTAGCCACTGTCCCACTCTGCCTAGGCCTCAATGTTTATGAACCTCTGGAGGTGATATGTGGCTGCGCAGATTGCTTGATGGTTTTAAAGACATCTTTTTGACAGAGCTGAGCTTTGAAACAAAAGTAACATCAGAGTAATGTAATCTAAACTGTGACTACTGATTTTAGCTGTTAAGTTATTAGTTGGCTAATTTTCTTGTCAATAACTAAGTGCTTTTAATTATACATTACAGACACTTTGCACATTACTGAGTGCATTATTTATTTAAGATGGTTATGGAGAGAGTTGTGCTGGTTATAAAACAGTCTCCATTCACTACTTATACTTGGACATGATCTACTGCAGCAAAGCAAATCAGCAGCTAGTCTGGTCTTAATGTTCCACAAAGTAAATACCACAAACTAAAGCAGAGGGCAGGATCTGCCCCACATATAATGAAGAAATCTGACTGATTATTTTAACAGATTATAGGTGAAATGAAGTTTGTTAGCTCTGTCAAAACATTTTTTCCTAAATGAACTCTGTTGAGGCTGCTGCTGAGGTGGAGGAACAGTGAGAATGACAGTGGTGCTTCTCATTTGCATTCTCCTCTGCTTATCTGAAGACACATTTTTACATTAGGAATAAAAAGAGGACCACTTCCTGTTGTAGATGCAATATTTCTATCCTAGAAATTTCTGAAAAAATCAAAACAGAAGTTGATTCCCCTAGAGTGCAGGACCCTGCTGGCATTTTTATGCATTATTCTGTCTTCAACTGTGCAGATCCTGATCATCATTCCCATGGTTCTCCATTTATTAAAGACAAAACAAAATCAAAACAGCATGAAAGAACAAAAGAGAAGATTTTTTCATACACTTGTGATTAGAAAGGAACTACTCTGAGTGTTGTCCAGATGTTGACTGCCCATAAAGAATCATGTAAGTGTTGTGTTTATGGTTTGAGAGACAGTGAGGCAGAGATGTTGGGTGCAAACTGAGAAGTTTCCCAAAGAGGAGGATTTTAAAGCAGCTCTAATCCTGCTGTTTTTCAAATGACAGAACTCTCTGTTGTCTTTGGCTCAAGACTCAAT